AAAAAATTATTTGGGGGCATGTATCCCCAGCAGGTAAGACTGTGGGGGAAGGGGAAGGGGGAAAGGAAAGGGCTGTGGGGGGTGGGGGAGACCAATCAAGACCCCAGCAGTGAGGGAGGGCATGGGGCACAGGCAGGAGCAGGGGATGGGGGGAGTAGGGTCCTCGCTGAGCCGGGTGGTGGGACAAGCAGAGGCCCAGGGGCAAGTGTGATTGCGGGTTGACCTTTGTGCCCCAAGCCCTGCTGCAGCTGGCCTGGGCGTGGCCTGACGCCATGTGCGCCCACCACCGGGCATGCAGGGGACGAGGCTCAGTCCAGCAGTGGGACGCATGTGGCATTGAGCTGCTCCTGGGCCAGCTGCAATGGGGCTTGGGGCACAAAGCCCAGCCCACAATGGCAGCCACCTCCGCTGCACACAGATGGTGGGGGGCATGTGCCCCACGGGGCCTCTGCTGGGGTGCGCACAATGGCAGAAGCCCCCTGTGCCCCTGGATGAGTTGCCTGGCCTCAATCTTCCCACCACGTGCCTGGCTGGTGCCCCACTCACCTTACTCCTGCTCCTGCCTCTGCTGCACTCTGTCCCTCACTGCAGGGGCCTCTATCTGACCCCTGTCCCTTCCCTCCCTCCCGAACTGACCTGCTGGGTGGGGGGAGACGCGTGCACACATGCACGCACACGCTCAGCACCCCCACAGCCTGAGATCGACCAGTTGGTGACCACTGCTCTAAACACAACAGCCTTGCTGTTCTTCCTTTTACACATGAAGAGGCAGAGGCATGTTTGCGCAGGACTTCTGTGTAACTTCAGATGAGGCTGAACCTTTTTCATTGTTGTTAATCTACATGATTTCATCCCGTGCATTTTTTTTTTCCAGGTGATGTCTATCCCCAGTTGTATCTCTGTCATACATTCTTTCCAAACAAATTATCTGCATTCATGGGGTTAAATTCAGAGGCACTATAAGGGCAAAAAGATCCTCACCTTAGCTGGTGAAATTAGCCTTCTGTTCTAAATAGACAGGATTGTATAAGGTCCCTAAGGAAAAAGGTGTCCCCTAGGCCTGGTTTTTACTTTGGTTTCCACTCAGACTTAAGTATTATACTCCATTCTTGAAGACTGGTTTAAAATAGTCACAAGGAGACTGTATATGGCAGCCTTTCCTGAGTGCTTTTCATTATATTCCTGGACAGAGCTTCTAGTCAGAAATTCAGAGCCAGTTCCAAGTTTTGGTTGGTAGAAAGCTCATTCCTGGTGGATCCTGGCTACAATATCACTCTAACACTTCTGAGTGACGTTCTAGCCATTATGGGTCCAGGAATTATGCAAGAGGCAAAGGTTTTTTGAGGGAGTACCTTTTATTGGACTCACTCACTGGTTGGAATAAAATTAGACAAGCTTTTGAATGCAAGGCATTCTTCATCGGGTCTGAGGGGAAAAACAAGGGCAGCAATAGTTAATGGTCAAATGGTTAAAAATAGTTAATGGTTAAAAGCAGAGAGTGCCTATACACAAGTATGAAGGCTGTAATTAATTGAGTCTGCTGGAGCACACTCCAGCAGCCTCCCATGTCTCATGTATCAGTGTCCCTGCACTTCAAAATGACAGCAGGGGTGCTTGAAATAAAGCACATAAGAACCTAGATACATGAGATGCTGCAACACTTTAATTAGAGCGGCTCTTGCAGCTGCTCTCATTAAAGAGCTCCCCCCAACCCCTGGACCACATGCACACAGCGCCTAGAGCTGTCAGATTAGAGGAGGAGGGGAAGGGGAAGGATTCCCAGAGGAGCAGACAAACAATCAGCAGAAGAAAAGAAGCTTAATTATTAGTAGATCAAGACCTATCAAAAGGGAGGATATAATAATAACTTTCACAATAATAAAGACCCTCCTCCTTTTTCGTATGCCTTTATCTTCCAGTAATCAAGCTTGACTTCTGTTACTGTTTGTCGACTGGGAATTTCTCTCCCCCACCTCCCACAACCTATCAGCCCTATTCTCTGTTCTTAACTGTCAACTATCACTGGCCTTGCTTCCCTCCCTAGACTCAATGAAGAATGCACTGCATTCGAAAGCATGTCTAACTTTATTAGTTTCACATTAATCCAACCAGTGAGTTGATCCAATAAAAGATGTCACCCCCAAAAATCCTTGCCTCGCATATGTTAAAAGAAAGAAAAGAAATACGCACTTGACTTAGGTGCTGGTTTCAATTTCAAATAAATCTAAGCAGGATAAAGTCTAGTACTTTGCTGCTGCTGAGAGGTCCTCCCCTGTCTTTATTGCATGATATAGTAGCAACACTAATGTTCATGATGAACTTCAATTCTCACTTACGTGCGTGTTGTGTTGTACATGCATATACTAGTATTCAAATGGTGAAAAAAGCCATGTAAGATAACTGTATACTAACCTTAATTATTTTGTTAGCTCTAACAATCCATTACATCTCCCACATGCCTCTGCTGTAAAACCAATCTAGTATTATGTCTTGTCCCAACACGAGTGAATGAGTCTTTCAATATATCTAAGCGGAGAGCTTTCTAGTGTCTGAATTTTCCTTAATTTTCACTCTGTTAGCTTACATAACTTCATATTTTTGCAAATAAAGCTTTAGGTCCTGCCAAAGGGCCATAATTTAGATTTCAGAAATCATTTCACTTGCATACATTTTTGGTGTTAGTTTGTTAATCCTTTTCAACCAAAACAGTTCACTGCCATGCCAGCTCAAACCTTTTAATAACTGATCCATCCTCTTTCAAGATCTCTTTCTCTACTAAAGCAGGGAGCTGGACTTTTGTCTGGTTACCTGCATAACTCAACGCCTACAGTGAAACACAAAACAAAATCCTACAATAACTGTACCGCATATTTAAATAGTTTCATGTTAGTGATAGTAAAGCTGAAAAAAAAAAATCAGAAGTCAAGGAGGAAACAGGCATGAATCACAGTTCAGC